GTGTGTGTGTGTGTGTGTGTGTGTGTTTGTTTGTTTGTTTGTTTGTTTGTTTGTTTGTGTGTGTGTGTGTGTTTGTGTGTGTAGCGGGGTGTAAGGTATTACGTAGTGTTTTGGGAGTTGTTTTTTTCTCTTTAGGAACAGGGAGATACTTTTTTCGTAAGAAATTAAGGGGGGGGGGTGCGGGTCCTATATACACACAGGGTTTTTGTTTACTCATTTGGAAGTGTTTGTCGCCATGTAGCCTTTCGTTCCTCCTTCTCCTCTGCCATCCCGCTTGCTGTAGACGTGGAGTGTGTGCGCCAAAGGACGACCAGGGTACATTGTGTACCTTTCAAGAAGAACGCGGCCCAGTGCTAAAGTTTATTCAGTGATACTGTGCTTTTCTCTCTTGCCGGAGGTAGATATATCCTCGTGTTTCCTTGCGCGCGAGAATCGAGCAGGGGAGGGGAGGGGAACATTGGAGTGGAGGAAAGGGGGGTGAAATGCTTTTATGAGTCAGCTCAGTGTTTTTCTGTGCCGCCTCGGAGCAGAGAAGGAAGAACTGTTACTTCTGTGGCCGGGCCGACGTGCCTCTCTGACTCTGACTGTGAAAACGTGTGCCACTATCATCGGTCATCACCAAATGGCAAATGGCTGTAGGGAGACAAACCAGTGAGTTGGAATTCCATACGTAAAGAGGAGTGAAATTCTCAACGACGCCCACCACGGAGTTGTGAGCTAGGCTAGAGGGGGATGTGAAATTGTAATAATACATACTACGTTAGCTTGCGTCTCCGAGATTTGTTGTTCGCCCCTGCTTGCTTGGATACGAGAGACTACCGGATTCAGATAGGGTTGTTGGGTTTTTTTCTTCTCTTCTCGCCTCTGTGTTGTGTGCTGGAAGTGGTATATATACTCTTACATTACATCGAGTTTGTACCCGCTCGCTTGGATACGTTCTACAGGTTTCTAAGTTTATTCCTCGCTTTGGAGTTGTGATTTAGGGCGTGTATTTAAGTTACGTTTGTTCCGGGTTTGTGTTCAAGGACATGTTTAAAGTACAGTCCCTTTTTTAAATATCGGAATATGTTTTTTGAAGATATTCTGTTTACTTCAAGATTTTAGCGCTTTCTTGGAAGCTACACATTGCAGATGTTTGGTGTTTGGTGGGTGTTCTGGTGTGGTTTGTTCGTTCATTCCTATCAAACACCCATCGTCCTTATCTTATCTCTCTCTTTTTTTGGGGGATAACACCTCTGATATCCAGCTCTTATGTTACATTAATTTTGTTACGAGTGCCGTAAAGCTGTTTTATAGAACGGAGACCGAGAAAAACGTTTCACAGATAACTGTCTCCCCCGAAAAAAGCAACCACGAAACAAACAAGCAAACATATCCCCAAAATAGATCGGCAACAACAAACAGTAACAAAGAACAGCAGCTTGACGTACGCGTACAGTCATGGACTTGAGTGGATAGACAATTGTTGTGGGTGGTTGGCGGGTGCTCTGGTGTGGTTTGCTTCTTCTTTCCTATCAAACATCTATCGTCCTGATCTCCCCTTCATCTTTTTTATGTTTGTTACTCTCTTGTAACAGCTCTAATCTTCTGGCGCTTATATGACCTTATGCAGTTGAGAGCGCCGTAAAACCTCTACTAAAACTAAACTAAACTAAAGACGATTGTTTTCATCCAGTCTGTTACTTTCAATGTTACATCATGGAAAGATTAATATTATGAACACATTTTAGTACCGGAAGGCTTTTGTGATTGTGTGTAGGTGTTTGTATATGTGTGTATGTGTTTGTGTGTATGTATGTGTGTGTGTGTGTGTGTGTGTGTGTG